TACAAAAATTCTTTAAGTCATTGCAAGAGATTATCAAGTCTTGATCACTATTCACTAGAGATACCATTTTGCTTAGTTCCTAGCTACCACTTAATTTTTGGAGGGTACAAATCTCAGCTAATGCACAACTGCCTCTGATGCACCAGTACAGATCTGAATTATATTTACTGTATCTAGAAAAAAGAAGGATTATTTTCTTTTTCGATTTAAATTTACAAATATCATTTGAAAAATTTGGTTTGTATTTTGTACAGAGTTGTTAAAAAAGTGTAGTCGCACCATTGTAAATATGTGAAATATTACATGCAGTAACAAAACATGAGTAAACTTAAAGAAAAATGAACTCCAGTGTAAAGTGAAAAATTGCGATCAGGTGGCCATTCTCTTCGTAAACCCCGGCTTGCGAGCAGACCCTCATTATCGCTGCAGGACTCGCGTGTTTCTCCGCCCGCGGGAAGATGTGAGACGAGTCGGGAAGAGGTATACCGCGGGTCTGGCACCTCGCGAACGAAAACTGGAAGAAGGATAAAACTAACTCTTGCGCACCTTAACGCTAATGTATCGACCGTAGAGTCTTCGTTTTAGCACTTTTAACCAAACTGTATTGACCAAAAGGGTGTTTACAGAGCACCAGGAATAAGAACTTTTAACTTCCGGTTGCTGTGCGCGTCTCTAAAATGTTGGTGCTTATTATTAATAGACCTCTCGCTGGCTCACGTTGCACAAGGTTTCACGATTTCCCGCGGGTGGAGGAGCGCTCGTTCCCAGGCTCTTATAATGAGGGCCTGCTTGCTAGTAGGCTGCTAAAACGTAGATTCATCAACAAATTCTCGGACTTGTTGATCAAAGTATCTCTGAATTACTTACTTGTGGAGAACATATGTGTGATTAGCAAAATACAATACGCCATGAACATAAAATATATATTAACCTCACTTTATTTCATCGATTTTCCTTAGCAAAATAAATTATCCTTGATTTAAAAATTTAGCCCCATCAACAAAATGTACAAATCTAGCCAAATCGCATGTCCGTTAAATTTTTGTTAAGAGGTATTCACGTGCACTTACCGAAAAATTGAATTCGTATCAATTTATTGAAGAATGTTTAGAAAGAGAAGCTTCCCGAACTTCAAGATTAAGGAAATGGTCCCCTGAAATATCGCGATCCAAAAAAGCTGAGAAAATTTCAAAAATGGATGAGCAAGAAACTAGGGCGACGCAACGGAATCTTGATACATAGCGGTGGCACCTAAATTACCCTGAAGCTCGCTATTGCGTGCTGTGGCGTGGGGCGGAGACCCATACTCCACCACTGATTAAGACTGCGCACGAGAAAGATAAAAACAGAGCTAAGCCATGATTACCAAACATTGTCAAAGATAGTGATTTCAAATGGTCGTTATATAACCTTTCAAGGATCTTTTTCAACCTGAATACAGTGCACGCATGTACTCGAAAAATTCCGTCAGTTTCGGTACCTCAATAGATTGGGTGATCTAACACACGGTTGTAGATCTTCGTGAATTCTTTCAGCTTGTTTAACACAGAAATTAAAGTGTAGTCAGTGCCTCATAAATTTTACTTTTTTACTTTTCCTTTTTCATTTACGATTTCGTCGATGTGTGTCAATCGTTTAGTTTAATCGCTTAGTTTTTTTGTGCTTTCCCAAAATGTTAGACAAAGAAAGGGGCGTGGTTGACAAAGATTTGTCAGCTCGTAGCCAATTTTCCTCCAATAATCGAATGAAACTAAATTTATAACGCACTCGTCAGTCGCTGTCTTGTGGTAACGTTCCATATTTTGCACTAGCCGCAGATTTATCCTTGTCCTTTTCGTCCTCCGTGATTGTGGCCCATTTGCAAACGATGATTGAGTCGAGGACAATAAGCGTCAAATATGAGATTATACAAACGATTGACATCAGTCTCCTTGAGCCAACATCGGTCGACAGGAACCTGAGCACCTTAAGAGCAAACGACAATGCCTTGTGGCTTCCAAGGATCACAACTGTCTTCTTAACCGGCAGAGCAAGGCCAAGAAATCCTCCCGCGATCCAGTTGAGCAACAGAAACATGATATGCATGATAGAGGAGTATCCAACGATAATGAGAATATTCATAGACACAATGTTATTAAACTTCTCCCCTACTTGCGCTCTGCTCACTTCAGGCCACGTAGAGAGAAGGAATAGCGTTATTACAGTGTAGTAGATTCCTCTGTTATACGAGTCGATTTTTTCAGCAACAGCATTGAAACTTCTCAGCAACTTGCCGATCTGAAAGGTAGCAAGCAGTCAATGAATGCAAAGAACCGATAGATTTTCCTAACTGTCTACCATACAATTGTTATGAGGTTAGTTCGGAGAATTTGGTATTGGATCAATTAATAATTCCTAATTGATCTTCTTCTTTATTCTCATCACTTGTCCGCTTGATTTTGAGGAAAAGATCTGTCTTGGTCACTCATGGGAGTCCAAATAAACGCGTAAAAATGAACAACATATGCAGCACTCTCTAACGATCCTTCTATTTGGCCCTGACTCAAGCATATGCATATTAACAAAAAAAATCGTTGGCCCGCAACGCAACTCTTCAAGCGACAACATTTTTTTTGGACGCTCGGTCACTAAGTGAAGTAAGTGAAATGGTTTCGCATCACTCACAGACGAATGATTTTTTAGAATATTTATGAACTAATTGGCTGAACCGAATATTGAGTATTTGCACTCAATTTATATGTTTGATGGTTGATTCGGGTTTCGCCCTTAGCAGCATTGTCCTACGAAAGAAATCTCGCGCTTATTATCGAACATTTATGCATACATGAAATGCCTAAAACGTTGATTGCAATTTTGCATCTGATTGGTTTAAAGAGTGGCATGAGTTTCCTTGAACAATGACAAGACATTATAGGGCAAAAACAATAAATCAAAGACTGACAATCTACAAAAAAATTATGTCTGCTGGCAAAAAAAAAATAACTCTAAGATTCTTTCGGCAGGGGCTTTGTTCTTGGTCAAAGTTGCTGGCTGGGAAAAAATGCTTTTGACACGTACTGAATGGCACTGAGAAACGGCTATTTTCCATGAATATTCATCATTAACTGTTTGGGGAGGAAATAAAAATCTTTTTGAAAAAAAAAAACAGTGTTCGCTAAGCCCGCCTGAAGGTATGCTCTCGTTACTCAACCCAACGTTTTCTCTATAGCCCTCCTACTAATACTTACAATGGTCGGTAGTACAGTTACTAGAGCAAATACAATCATGATATTTCCAAATCTGTTCACATTTACGCCACTGCTGAGATCAGTCATCCAGATTAGCATAGGCGCCACACTAAACACTCCAGCAAAGTTTGTTATAGCCATAAGTAAGATCGCAAGGGAAAAGTTACCTCCGGCCAGCAAGGACTGGAAAAAAAAAAAGGAAAAACAAGGTATTCTGAAAGAGAGAAATATTTCGCCTGTTGATATGAGCCGAAAAACGAGTCAAGATGAGTTTTTCTTTCTGTTCATCTAAGAACTTCTTTCCGTTTGTATGCCAGAGTAAGAAATCAAAAAGCCTAGCTGTCGATTTTTATTTTCAGGGGAATTTTAGTATGGGTACTGAGAGAACAAGCCTCAGTCTTTCAAGTTTCACTCCCTTATCGGGGCTGTTATATAAGAAAATTTATATCGTAGTTACAAAGCTCGCAATTCAGCTAGCCATCTCACAAAAACACATCGAAATTTTCTCAGAGGTAAAAGTCATGTGGTGCGATTTCAAGAAATGAGAAAGATAGTTACATAGACACTGGGCTGTTTTGACGAAGTCCTAACCTATGGAATCTCTTAAGAGCCCCTCACGTTAAAGGGAGAATTCATTTAATCGCCTCATCGCTCACCAGCGTAGGCATGAAAGAGCAGCTGATCGTTTTTAGACTTCTAACTTACCAGAATGGCACCTCCAGACATGCTTGCTGGCACGGTGAAAAACACTTGAAGCGCAAAAGCAAATTCCGTGGGACCAATTGCAGTAACATTTCCAACAACTGTAGATTGAGAAGTGGTCACATTATCCTCTCTCATCGTCGCAAACTGTATAGTCTTTGTAATTTGCGTTCCTGTGATGGGAACCACCAAGAGTATTGTAAGAATTCCCCAGACGACTGCTTTGTACGACTTGACGGCTGTAAGAAGCTCTCCCGTTGTCGTGCGCAATCCACAGAGAAGAAAACACACCCCAAGACAAATTTGAGAAAAATATATTTTGGAGAGAAAGTTGCCTGATGCCGGCCACTGAGTACCAACGGCCATCATCAGTATCATTCCGATCGCGAGGTAGTAAGTATCAAATAATTCCCACAGAGTATGGAGTGAACGCCATAAGCAATGCGAGGGCCTCGGAATATTAGATTTAATCTTATCTTCGTCATGACTGTTTCGTGGTGTTTTCCTCTCTTTAGACATGTCGTGACCTGAGTTGTTAACGTGGGATTGTCATGCAGAAAAAAGAAAGAGGTAAAATGATCAGAAATGTTGACGGTAAGAATCTTGTCGGGTTAACTGCAGAGTCTTAAAGGGTACTTACGCGCTAAATAACACCTACAGCAAAGAGTGCGAAGCAAATGTGACCGATTTTATGATGTAGTTTGGTTTTATCAGTGAAGTTGGTAATGTGAATTGGCCACCGTCGAAAGAATCTAAAACTAACCTCTCGATCGTCAAAGCGAATTTATAATGACTGATGCTAGTGATAATGCTAGTTGGCTTGACGAGCAAAAGCCGTCTAATTAATGCAATGTCTATCGTTTATGGCCCTTTGCAAGAAAGACAAAAAACTCAACACCAAAGTAATGCGATGCAAGTGCTTAGGTCTTGTATCTGATTGGTTGAAAAAGTGGTGCGATGCACTTTACCCAATCGCATAGTAAAGTAAAATCAAAAGTTATGCAAACCAGGCTAACTCTCAACCCTCGATTCACGATTGTTCCATAAACAGGTACTGTACTCGCCGTAAAAAAGATATAAAAGCACTGAACAGCAATTATGACCTGCTCGGGTGCAAGGGGTTAGATTTTATGTTACATGGACCTTTTAGATTCAGATGATACCCTCAATAAAATTATAGTTTTCACTTTTTCGAGGGTTATCTTTGATCACAGATGATTGCCAAAAGTGTCCGACTGAGCCAGCAATAGGCCGGAAAACCACTGAATAATGACAAAGTTTTCTATCCTTGAACATCTCTGCTTAAGTAGACCTAAAATTCCTAAATTTGCCATTCTCTCACATAATTGATGTTCAGCGAATAAGATTTGTAAATCCTATTCCTTGCGTTCACAGAAACTGTGATGATCGTCACATGATAGCACCTACCCGAAGAGCGTTCGACATTTTCCGAAAACCCAAACGACATAATTTTCTTAAAATTGCCAACTTGAATTTTCTCCTCCTATAGTTCGGTTATTTAGGTTGTGTATCAACTATCCAGTCTTCAAAAGTTGATGCTTCGTTAAAGCAGTTTTCCCTTTCACAAGCGGATTTCAATCGGATTTATATTAATTATGTGCAAACATACTGGTGGGCCATTTGTTTTCTCCTGTTTACCAGAAAACAAAGGTAACCTGATTGTTGGTACCGTAACCAACCAATTGTTTCTTTTTATTCATTAAGAGCAACGATTTGTTTTTATTCCTGGCTGGGTTTCATTCGTTCAACCAAATCTGCATCAAAGAAACCCGGTTTGCTGCGGACTCCGTCCGGAGTTAGTTAGCCTCGCGTCAAGTTTAAATCGAACCGACAACTTTACACTGAGAAACCCTACCAGCGCTCATTCAAGTCACCAGTTTTGATATGAACTTCCTGTAACTGAAATCTCACCACTGCCGGGGGAGAATGGGGAAGGGGGACCGGAGCACTCCGCAGAGTTTGATACGACAGTAGTTCGAGGCTCAAATTTAAAAACTCGCAATCCTTTGCGCTTTAAAACTGCAACTTAACAAATGGCAATGTTTACCAACAATGATTGCCTGTTTCATGTGAGGGTGCCAGATTCAAGGTTTAAGTCTTGAGTAGTTATTCATACCAAAGCGGTCGGATCGTTTTGCTAACTGATACCCTCCAAACTACTGCTGGAGACATCCTCCTTCTTTGAGCCGACAAATTCTAGCCCGTAGCCTCACAGCTATACTTCGGTCAAGAACACTCGACAGTCGAACCGACGAGAGTAGTTATCACGATAAATTAAAACTTTCTAACTTCCGTCCATCCTCTCGTAAGCAGAAAACCACCAAACTAGATATATATTCCATAATTGGTCAAGTACAGTAGAGAATGTATAGCATTTATCAATATTTATTCCAGTTTCACGACATCGCGATATCCCTCGACTTTGACCCGAGCACATAATGAGCCTTTTTCACTTTTAAATATCGAAAGATGCCGGTCGCACAATGCCCCACAGTGTAAAAATGGAATAGGATTCTACGATTTTATGAATTAAGTTCGTCTACGGCCAAAATTCAAAATACGTTTATCAAGTTATCTTTTCCGCATATTCTCTCTTATCTAAGCTTATCAAAAACACATGAAATTACATTAAATACGTCAGAAATATTCAGTCGATCCTGGATTGCCTAAAAATCCACGGAAGATAAAATCTTTATCGAAAGGTAAATCATTGCAACAATCAAGTGCATTAAATAAAAGCAGACATTGATTTGACAAAAATTATTCAAGAAATCGAACGGTAGTAAATTTTGCAAAGTGAAAACGCGATGATTAGGCGCACTAGAATCAGCTGTTTAGCGAAAGCAGATATTCAGTGGCAACATGACAACCAAAAAAAAAAGTTGAAGAATAACCCCAAAATTCCCCACAATTGGTCACAACTCACCTTGCTCCTGATTCTATAAAACTATTAAGATGTCCTGAGCTCTACGATCAATTAAACTTTCCGCGTGAAAGAAGCAAACCATAATTGATGCGTTGTCTTTTTTCTCGCTGATTTACATTCATATTCAACGTCTTAAAAGATGTGAGGTTACGGGGCAACAGCGCAGCTGTGTAAAACATCCATATTTTCTATAGCGTGAATGATTTTTTCTCATTAATAGGCTGCACTATTTACCTTCAGATAAAAGAAATGAAAATTTAATGACTGTCAGATTCCTGACTCTAAAAAAAATTGGGTCAAGTTATTTATATGGACTTGAGAAAATTTCGGGTTTTAATCGTCATCTCTGAGACTTCTTCATCCGCAGTTTAATGTTGTTTACTGGGTAATTGCACTTTTATATTGGATCTATTAAGATTCAAATAAACATTTCTCTACACTGTAACCTCGACCTCTCTCGTTCTAATAACATGTACGGAGTAAAATGAAAAACGTGCACGTAAAGCAAACAAAGAATATTTTCGAATTCCTTACGCTGTCAATATCTGATCAGTATATGTCAGTATTTGCAAAACTGGCTTCCTTAGTTTAAATATGTCAATGAGCGCCGGGAAGATTTATTGATGTTTCTGTGATGTTTTACAAACCTAACACAGTGGTTGTCATTCTATTGTCGATTTATGTGAGAGAAAAAACAAGCTTTGGAAGTGTGAATGTTTCCACAGCTGCATAGAGCGTTTACAGTCGATCGCAGCTTATGTTTTTTACTGGTGTTATTATTTTTTAAAATTTACCCAGATATAAATTCAATGGTATCTCTGAATGATGTGCAATTTTCGAGTGCAATTTTCGAATGTTTTACCATCGTGCGGATTCTCTACGGAAAAAGCACTCAATATACCTCTGAAATATTAAACTATAATACTGTGGGTTTCTATTTCGCTAATTTTCTAACTTGAAGGTAAAGTTTTTCCCTCGTCATTTTTACCTTTTCTCCGAGCGGTTGCGTGAAATTAACAAGGCGATTTTGATCAAAACAGGACCGAGCGAAGGGTCTCGGGCGATATCTCTTTTACGCAGGCGCAAATTAAAAATGTACCGCCAGAATCAAAAAGAGGAACAAATTTCCTTTGTTTTGATATGTAAAGTGTCGAACAAAAAGCAGATTTACCCTCGTCAAATGGCGTTTCAAAACAGCTGTATCTTCCTCCTTTTGATTTTTTTCCTGTTTTAGCGAAAAAATGCGAAAATTTCGGTTGAAAGGTAAATGGAACGGAAATTGTGGACTTCCTCCAGAGGAAGTCCTCTTTTTCTGTTCGGAACGGAACGGCGGAAATTTCCTTACCATTTGCTAAACTCTCCAGTTTCCGATCTCTCATCAGCCGAAAACAATTACGGGAAATCGAATTGCAAATGGTAAGCGCCATCTCGTTCGGTTGGTTTGATGATATTGGAAAAACCCTTACCATTATTCAACGGTCGTCCCAACCAGTTTATTTTAACAAGTGTTAAGCACCCTTACCATTTCATTTGACTTTCAGCCGAAATTTCCGGATGTTTTTGCTAAATGGTAAGCACCTTAGCTTTCTTAAGGTGCAGCTACATGGGGCTCTTTTTATCGTGGTAAGTGACCCTTTAACAACGGGAAACCGCATTAAGTGAGATTAACCAATATTTCCGAGAGGTAAATTTCCCGTGGTAAATATTTATGGATACGTCAAAAAGATCACACAAAGCACCCGTGACATCAAATGGGGTGGTATTTTGATGTCCAAGGTATAAGAGCCAATCACGATTCTCCATTTGAAACTCGTACGTAACCTCATAGAGAAAAAGGTTTTCATTCGTGACATTTTTTTTCAACGCTAGCAAAATCAGAAATCCAGTGTAGCCGTTTGTTGATAAGGGATACCAAAACTTAAATGTGATACAGTTTGGGATAATCTAACATGGTAAATGCAATTTACTGTGGTTTGCGTATTTCCCAGTCAGCAAAGCTGGACATGGCCCCAAGTTATCACGGGGGAAGGAAGGGGCGGTGATTGACAGAGTTAAGAGTCACTAAAGTAAACATTTTGCAGGTTAGGGACGGACTATTATTTTTCTGGAGGAGGAGTATGAGAAATATTGAAAAAATTGTTTGCAGGGTCTGAAAAGACAAATAAATTGTTTGCAAACGTGATAGGGTAGGAAAAAAATGTTTGCAAGGAAGTCAGGTAAGATATTAAAAAATATTATTACCAAAACTGAAATAAAAAAATAAAGTAACAAATTGAAGCATTAGTATAAAGATTAACACAATTTAGGCTAAAAGGTGGTCACTCTGTATTTCGCAAACAATAATTCTGAAAATAGCTGAGTATTTCTTGAAAAAAAGGAATTTGTCGTGGCAATAAAATTTCAACATTTTGTCCTATTACAAAACTTCATATATCAGGTATTTCTCTCAAAACTGTATTAAACAAATAACATTCTACAATCTTGGCTTTATTTATTATTGCTGCATAATACATATTTCATAAGTCAATGAATTCCATGAACGGCATAAACGAATGAATTCCAAAAAACGATAGACAAAATGGTTCAAGCAGCTGAAGTTCTTGAAGTATATTACACATTCGTTGACAACTGAAAAACGTATGCCCTTTACTTGTGTCAGCAGTTGCCAAAAAATTTTAAAAGGTGAGTGGAGCACATACTGACAATATAAGAGGCTATAGCACTATTGATTACCT